TTCCTGCACGTTAGTCTTTTGCATAAGCTATTAAGCTCCTCTGATGTCTATATCCCCACAAAATCTGTGACATATCAACTTCAATTCATGCATAAGCCGTGTCCAATCTTTGTTATGTTGAAACTCTAGAAAGGTTTTAATACATCAAGCACTTCTAGTCCAATTCCTAGGATTACTCCCATCAAACACTTGTAATTCTAGGTTTGAACATAACTGTCCTTGAATTCCAAGGAAAGATTTTGAGAACATCTAGTGCCAACATACTCATCATAATAGTATGGAGTTCATTTGCGCTTCCTAATGTTATTCCCCAGTTTCAGTCTTGTGGATCTTGAGGTAAGTTGTAGAAAAGCGGTGGTCTAACCGGAAGATTTTGTTGTGACAGGTTGGGTTTTGATGACAAAGTACCAAGTTCATCAGGTTGGTAAGAGTATTTATCTTTTTTCATTAATTATGGTTCTTTTTCCTCCCACCATTTGGGAACTTTAAAATCATCTTTCGGTTGCCCCAACTGATTCTAGATGTCTTCCATCCATTGCTGAATGGCAGCTAAATTTGTATTTCTGTCGTTGATAAACTTTTTTTTTCTTCTTACTTTACTGTTTTCAAGAGATGAATGCGGTATTGTTGGGGAAGAGAAAGCCTAGCCCAAAATTCCATTTTTTTAAAACTTTCCTTGGCAGCCGACACGTTGATTTGCAGGTGCTGAGCTGAGATTTGATTCAACCAGCCACTGTATGATCTTCTTCTTTACTCATTCTGATTTCTGTGCTTTGCTTTCTGTTTGGTTGGTTCCCGAGAAACCGCGAGAAAATTTGCGCAAACTAGAGTTTCTCTTGTTTGTAGTCGGCTGGTGCTAGTTTTCTCATCCCCATATCTTGTTATGTGTTCTGCTTTCCTTTGATTTTGTTTAGATTTATATGTATGCATAAAAGGGTGTGCTTTGATTTGTCTTGGCTGTTCTTTCACTGTTTGATGCAAGATCTAGATCTGGATCTGGGTTTTCTTCGTTATACATATTTCATTTCTTATTTGAGACTTTGATCATCTCATACACGCCAGCATCAACGCTAGGAAGAAAGAAAAATTTCATCTTTTTAGGAGGCAAGAAAAGAAGCGAAAGAGTCTGTTTTTAATACTGGACAGGCCCATCTCCTGTGTTTTTCCGATTTGATTTCTCCTCTCTAAACTCAAATATTCTCAGCTTTAAAACTGTTGAAAATTCCTTTAACTCCTCTCGTTCACGCAAAAGAAATTTAATAATTCTGTTGCTCTCTCCTTTGCTTTTAGCTCTGCAAATCCCCAGATCTACTCTCTCAGCCATTTGATTTCCGTTCCTCAGTGCGTTTCTTTCCTCTTGTCTTCTCCTTTCTAATTTTCAGAAAGTTTAGAATCTCTATATCTTTAGTTAATTTTAATTTGACTGTTTTTTTTTCAAAACAAAAAGCTTATTTTTACGAAAATCAACTTCCCACCGGCGAGTTTGACTCGTAATTGAAGGTTCTTTGTTCTATTTTTTCTCCATTATTTTGTTCATAGAAAAGCGAATCCTATTAAGTAACCAACTAGGCTTCTTAGTACCCTCATTCTCTAGCGTTTTATTGGTGCATCTTCTTCTTTGGATTTCTTTTCATAGTCCCTCATAGCTTCGATTATAGATGATTACTTGAGGTCATGTCATTCTTTAGATCCCATAGGCGTAGGGGAGGGGGAGTGGTGTCAAGGAGACTAGACTTAGAGTTTGTTCGTTAAATGTGGCACATTAATGCTAGGCTGCTGGAGCTGACAGACGTACTTAGTAATAGGAAAATAGATTTGATGTATTCAGGAGACTAGATGGAAAGGGGCTCGCGCCAGAGAGTGTAATGGGTACAAGTTGTGGTATTCAGGAGTAGATAACGCTAGAAATGGGGTGGGTATCTTGGTATCCTCTAGTCTCAAGGAAAATGTAGTTGAAGTTTGTAGATCCGAGATAGGATGATGATTAAGGTTATTAGAAGCGGAAGTGGTGAATGTCCTTTCAGTGTACGCTCCACACGTTGGCCTAGGGGGGGGGAGAAACGTTGCTTCTGGGATCAGTTAGATATTGTACTTAGGAGCATTCCAGAGGAAAAGAGTTTCATAGGGGGAGACTTCAATGGCCATAGGTAGTGAAATCGACGGGTATGACGGTGTTCATGGGGGTTTCGGTTATGGTAGCAGGAATGATGAGGGGCGTACGTTGCTTGATTTTGCTACTGCTCACGATTTGGTGATCTAACTCCTTATTTAATAAAAGAGATGCGAACTTGATTACGTTTCATAGCGGGGGACGTTGTACCCAAATCGACTTCATCTTGGTTAGAAATCGGAACGATGGGCTTGCATTGACTGTAAGGTGTTCCTGAAGAGGCATGTGCATCACAACACAAATTGTTGATTTTGGTGTTCCGCGTACCCAACGGCGAGCACTCATAGGAGGGCTAAACTGGGTAAACCTATGATCCTGGAAGAACTTACATGGAGCGACAACTGATGACTTTAGGAGTAAGCTTTTGTCTAATACAGGTTTTGAAACTACAAACTCAAATAACGCAGATATGTTATGGAAAAATATGACAAATTCCATCAGAGAGGTGGGCAAAAACACCCTTGGGTTGTCGACGGGGAAGGCCAAGGAACATAAAGAATCGTGGTGGTGGAACGACGAAGTCCAAACTAAGGTGAAGACAAAACAAACTTGCTTCAAGGAGTTTCTTCAATGCAATGAGAGAAAGGCGAGAGCTAAACAAAGATACAGGAGGCAAAGCGGGAAGCCAAGAAACGTAGCTAAAGCAAAGGATAAGGCATATGAGGAAATGTACAAGATTAGACACTAAGGAAGGACAAAATGACATCTTCAGACTTGCAAAATCTAGGGAGATTAGGAAAAGGATCTAGGTAACATTAGGTTTAAGGACAATAATGGTGTTTTAACGAAAGATCATGATATTAAGAGGGTTTGGGGTAGTATTTCTTTGGCTTATTAATGACGGTGCTCTCCATGTAGAGATAATATCGTTGTTGGGTCAGCCGACCATCATATACGGCCACTGCCCTACAAGTAGGATTGGGTTTGAGGAAGTCAAATGGCTCTTAGAAATATGGGAAGGGAGAAAGCTGCGGTCCTGATCAAATTCCTATCACTGTGTGGTTAGCCCTAGGAGATGAGGGAGTTAAGTGGTTGACCAACATCTTTAATATTATTTTAGAGACTGCCAAGATGCCAGAGGAGTGGAGAGAGTCTACGGTGATACCAATTATAAAAATAAAGGAGATCCCAACGTTGTGGTAACTACAGAGGTATTAAACTACTCAGCCATACCATGAAGCTATGGGAAAGGGTGATAGAGGCTAGGTTGAGACAAGTCATAGGGTTTCGGAAAACCAATTTGGCTTTATGCCAAACAGGTCTACCACAGAGGCGATTCATCTACTTCGACGGCTTATGGAGAAATATAGGGAAAAGTCTAGAGATCTTCACATGGCGTTCATTGACCTTGAGAAGGCTTATGATAGCGTTCCTCGCGATACGATCTGGAAGACTTTGGAAACGAGACGGATACCAACTGCTTATATCCGGGCGATTCGTGATATGTACTGTAGATCTACTACTTACGTCAGGACTACAGTTAGCGACACCGAGGCATTCCGGTGGAAATCGGACAACCCTTGTATTCTCAATGTATTGCATGGTATTGTATTTTACACACTCAATATTCAATACATTTATTGAGATCTACAATGTTTCTCCATCTCATTCTTCAACATTATCATGACTGTCTTCCTTCTCTTCCTTAGCATCTAATTCTTCCTCTTCTTCCATAGAAGTTAACGCCTCATTTTGCATTGATGCCCAGGAGTGAACTTCTCTCTACTCTAAAACATAGGTTGTGTGCTCTCTTGTATTCCAATAAACTTAACTTATTGGTTCGGTCACATGGGTTAGGCCTCTAACTGAAGAAGGATTGTAATTTCTTGGCATGGTATTCTGGTTGGAATATAAAGGATTCTTCATGGTAATTATATACCCTTTTTTTTTTCTTTCAATCTCCATTGGCAATTCAAATAGCTAAGCTTATCCATAAGCTTCAACTAGTGACTTAGGTTCTTGAACTTTAAATCTATGTTTTAGTTCTTCCTTCATGTCACTCTCAAAGCTGGATACAAAATACTCCTCTTCCAGGTGAGTGTTCGGATGTAACATGAAAATTTTAATTCCCTAAACCACTTGGTATTCCTGCACGTTAGTCTTTTGCATAAGCATATTAAGCTCCTCAATGATGTCAATATATCCCATCACAAAATCTGTGACATATCAACTTCAAATTCATGCATAAGCCGTTTCCAATCTTTGTTATGTTGAAACTCTAGAAAGGTTTTAATACATCAAGCACTTTCTAGTCCAATTCCTAGGATTACTCCCATCAACACTTGTAATTCAATCTTAGGTTTGAACATAACTGTCCTTGATTCCAAGGAAAAGATTTTGAGAACATCTAGTGCCAACATACTCATCATTAATAGTATGGAGTTCATTTGCGCTTCCTAATGTTATTCCCCAGTTTCAGTCTTGTGGATCTTGAGGTAAGTTGTAGAAAAGCGGTGGTCTAACCGGAAGATTTGTTGTGGTGACAGGTTGGGTTTTGATGACAAAGTACCAAGTTCATCAGTTGGTAAGAGTATTTATCTTTTTTCATTAATTATGGTTCTTTTTCCTCCCACTATTTGGGAACTTTAAATCATCTTTCGGTTGCCCCAACTGATTCTAGATGTCTTCCGTCCATTGCTGAATGGCAGCTAAATTTGTATTTTCTGTCGTTGATAAACTTTTCTTTTCTTTCTTACTATACTGTTTTCAAGAGATGAATGCGGTATTGTTGGGGAAGAGAAAACCTAAAATTGCATAGCCACTGCATTAGTTCCTTTTATTTTATTGGCCAACTCGGATACACGAGAACAAAAAAGGCTGGAGAGAATGAAAAATGCAGCTAATTGATTATTGGGCTGCCAAAATGTACAGAGGGGCTTGCTTAAGCCACAAGAATCAATTGAATTAATTGCTAATTGCTAACTGCTAACTGCTAACAATCGTCTATGAGATTATCGACTGTGTGGTGTATGGAAAATGTAGATTATGAAGCTCAGCACGCTTTTTCGCTGCTCTCCTAAAAGGCTTCCGGTTTTCCACCTCAAACGATCTATCCCAATTCCACTCGTTGATCAATATACTACTCTTCTTTCTAACTTTTCGCATCTGTGAGACTCTGATTTCTTCGGTCCCTTTCCTGGTTTTTTATCGCGGAGACGGGTTTTCGGCTCCACAATTTGGTGTCCATGTATCTGCCAAAGAATTAACCAAAAAATTTCTTTAAAAAACTTTAATGGTTATGCCTGAATAGAAATGTTCCATTGACATACCTCTCATGATCCAATGAGGACTCCAGGTGTTCAGTCCCAGGCAGACAAGCTGCACAGATATAAACCTTTGGTGTGAAGGTTAATTAACGCATCTGACATGGTACCACTCCTCACATTGACTGCAAGCAATCATGGTTTTCTCATCATACGGCTTTCGGCAAATGCAATGAAGCATACTTCGGACTCTTAATACCTGAATTAATCAACAAATGTTGTTATTATCTTTTTTAAAAATAAAAGTCACAAACATACTCAGTTGTATAAAGATGCAATTCGATACCTCAAGTTCCTTCATTAAGCAAACTGGTAAACTTTCCCCCTCTGTTATAAGTTCATAAACTCCATCTAAGCTGAGTGCCCCAGAATCAGCTGCAACCTGTTAAGGAAAAGACAGCCAAGTGAAGGGACATTACAAAGTTACTAAGAAGCAGCGTATACATGCAAACAACGGATCCAGACCTTGTTGGCACGATCAGCCCACTGCAATCCAATGTCCTTCAATTCTGAAAGCTTCGATCTGAAGTGATCTTCAGGTAAAATATTCATCGCATTTCCCTATCAGAGAACTATCTTTAGGCGCACAACATGTGAAAGAAAATGCATTCATGATATGAAGATTGAAGACATACACATTCAGAAAAGCCGATACCATTGGTTTGTTGAAAGGAAAAAATGGATGTAAACAACACAGTCCTGTGATATTTCTCCAAACATTATCAGTTCTTTTACTTTTGACGGTCTGTACAGTATCAGCCTAGATAATTTGTTCCTTAGTTCTAAAATGCTAACTGACCAAATGGAGAAATGTAATGAAATGTGTGAATTTGCAATGGTTAATCAACAAAGATCTAGACAAGAAGTAATATGCAGGGTTACATCTTCAAGAGCGTGGAAGAATCTACAGTGAGCAGATAAGGAGATCTAACAACTCATATTAGATACCACCTGGAACTTTATAACTATGGATTGCTGTGATATGTTCATTTCATACCTCAAGTAAAACAATGAAAATAATTAGAGGTGGAAATTATGTTAATCACTGACTGGGACTTTTAATCAAAAAGTATCTGACTGCAATGGGCCTGAAAAATGGTGGAAAGTCGAGCATTGCCAGTAGCATATACCTCTTTCAGGTGCCGGACAATCTGTTGGATTGAAGGCTTCTCTAAACCCTTCTCTAAAGCATCTAACAATCTAGATATTCGGAATCTCCATGAGCATCTTGCCAATGCCAGCTCAAGATCACAATAACTTTGATGATCATACACACCTGCCACTCCAATGGCCTGTACCCAGAAATCAAATTAACTCAGATAGCTGCTACTTCTCTGCAGCAACAATACCTCAATGCCAGCAAATATCATTTCATCTCCAAAAAATAATCTTAATAGAAAAATATATGAATGATAAAACAGGGTGAGGAAAAGTGGGAAGAGAAAGGGTACCTTCAAAGCAATTGTAAGTTTTTCACTGACAAAAGTGAGCTGATCTTTATCATAGCAAGACATTTCAAAGTCCACTATCTCTGTCAAACACTTTTTGCAGGCATGCGCTTGGTCCACAATTTGTTGTAAAATATCTCTTTCGTCAATCCTGCAAACATTAACCCAAAGAAGCCAATTTTTTGTATCCAGAAATTGCTAAAATATATCAAAATGATTGATAAAAACAAGTAAAAAAATTTATATTGTTTTATTGCTTAAAATATCAACATTCATGTTCTGCAAAATGTATACAAGGATAAGGGATTTCAGTTTATGCAAAACATTCAACATAAATAGCAACTGACAATCAGTTTCAGGTGAAAGTGAAACAAGAGATATTCCTTACATGCCAACTCTAATTTCCAGAACTTCAAAAGGAATACAATAAATCACTTGAACATGGAACAAAGGTTCCTAGCAACTCTTTTGTTTAATTTAATATTTTAAAGCATTTAAATTACAGCTTCAACTTTTTTTAACCAACTGAAATGAAACCCCATTACATAATTGATCATTGTGATTTTTTTTTTGCAGAGATGAAAAGGCAATAGCATATTAAAACATATTGAAAATTAAACACAGAGAATACCAGACACCACAATATTGCATTTAAATTTTCACTTGATACCTTACAAAAAAGTTTTCATCAACAGATGCAAGATTAGAGAGAAGCTCCAAGTCTGAATGTTTTCCATTAAGTCTCTGTGAAAAGTGAGAGAAGCTGTTAATAGACATACAAGCTTCTACTAAAAGATGATTCAAATATAAATGCATACCAGGAAGCCACCTCTGTTGGGAGGTATTAATCCACCCACAAGTAGCTTACAATATGAGCATGTATATACTTCTTCTGGATTATTTCTATATCCCAGACACTGCAAATGGTAGCTGTTCATAAAGAAGACACCAATAGGATGAGAACAGGGGATATCAATTACAAAGCATGCAAAACAAGGAAAGAACTTAAATCATACTATTATAAAACTTCAAACTTGATAGAATAAAAGTGAGAAACAGATGAAGAAGTCGAAAACTCTTAACACCAAACAGAGACCTTACCAATCCTTGCACGCTGAACATGTTACAAAATCCCAATCCTCAAAACCATTTATACAGCACGTGTAGAGACATGCTCCTTCACAACTCTCAGACTTTTCGTATACGTAAAAAGATCCATCTAGGGACTCTTTGATCTGGAGAAAATCAGAAAAGATTCTTAAAGGTACCTAATAAGAAATCAAAGTTTAGAATACAGAAAGGATTATCTGACAAAACCTTCTGCAAGGCACAAAGCAATGAACTCTCCTCTCCAACAAAGTTTTTTATAGCATCCATGCAGCGTTGCTTCCACTTCTCAATCTTTACAGCTTCAGACAATACCATATCTACTTCTTCACATGTAAAGAATGATGCTTTTCCATACTCCTGCGTGTGACATTCATAAGAAATCAAATCATCAGCTTCAAGCTTAAAAAATATAAATTACATACCAACGCAAAAACATTCTGAGTTCTTAAATACATAAAAAGTGAAGCAAGCTTTTACTAAAAGGATTAGGAAACAACAAATAAGAAAACAACCAAATTCATTGTAAAATGTAATCCTTTTCATGATCATAAGTTTACAACATGAATAGAGTAATAGATAGGCATTCTATTTAATTTATTGGGAAAAAGAATACAGTAACTAATCCCACAAGTCGCGACATGGAACAAAAATAAATAAAAAATACTGACTCAACTTTACTCATCAGACATCCATGGCATACCTCAAGCTGCATTAATTGAGACCATGACCGCTCCTCCAACTCTAAACTAAAAAACTGATGCACTTGCTCCTGCCATAGCCTACATTTACAGTTAAACACAAAATCAACAATCAACATAAATTGCATCTCTGGTATCAAGATGAAAGCCATACAAAAACATTGTAATAGATATCATGCTCATTCACATGCATGTAACCAGATTGCCATAATTCACACCGCCTTCAAGCCAAAAGTTGTGGCAAAAAGAAGAACCCATAAAAACAAGAAGAATACAGATACCTCAATGAAATAGTTATTTTTGTCTCATTTGGTGCATTAAAACCTTAGTCACCTAGACTCGCGAGGGTGTCGACAAAATAAGAATCCAAGAATCAAGTCTCGAAATTCCGGACACAGGGACATTGTCCGAGTTTTGTACACTGGTATTTGGACATATGAATTTATTATTATTATTTTAATATATTTAATACTTCAATAAATTATTTTATTATTACATTCATGTCAATAATTGATTCAATTTATAACCTAAATATTAATCGGTAAAATATTGTTACCATAATATATATATGCCTTCACACTTGCCATAGCTTCTTTCCTTCTTATCTTTCTTAGCTGAAAGGCTTTACTTAGGCCAAAGGCCCATACATGATACATGGGCTAAAAGGCATTACCCAAATAAGTCTTTACCTAGGCTAAAAGGCCCATACTGACAGCCCATAAACCTTTGCCATAATTTCTTTTCTTCTTTACCTTTTTTCCAGCGCCATTGCGTTCTCTCTTTTTTTTCAGCAGCTGATGCTTTCCTTCTGATCGGCCACTCACTTCTTTTTCCCCCTTATCAGACCTTTTTTTTTCTCCATCACTTTTTTATTCTTTTTATTTTCCTACACTTCTCAGTTTCACCCACCGTTGTGTCCAATTTTCTCCGGATCTGACCCGTATCCCATGTCAGATCATGTCGACACCAGTACGGCACCCAAACTGCCGAGTCCGGGTAACATAGATTAAAATTAGCTGTCCTTGATCTTTTGTGTCGTAATAGTACTTTATTAGTATTTACTTCATATTATATTCAATATTTGTTTTATAATTAAATATTAATTAATTTTATTTTTTATACGTTAAAATAAGTCAATCTTTTCCAACAAGAAACACAGACAAATCAGAGGTGAAACAGACAAAAATGGCGTCAAATGGGCGAAACCGCCTTAAAGAACTGATGCTGGAGCACAAAATTACAGCAAGCTCAGTGCTGCAGCCTGGACCAATTAAACTACCTTGCAACAAATTACAATTATTTTCAAGGTTTTTAGGGCACAAAAGAAGCCTATTTAAGGACAATAAACCTAGGTTCATGAAGCGAATCCGTCACACAAAATTAAAAAGATCTAAGAGAATTCAGAGAAACATTAACACAACTTAGTTTTCCCTTTTCTCTTTACTCCTGTATATTTTTTAGTATCTCTTAATCAAATGATAGTTGACTTGTTTATTCAATTTTGTGTTTATTGCTTCTAGTTGTTTGGCCACAATTAGTAAACTTTTCTAAACATTAATGAACATGAAAAATGGAATTATATGTTTAGACATTGATTGAATATCATATGTATCATAGTCATTTATTATGATGGAATGAGCTGCATGTAAGAAAGGAATATATTTACATGTCATATGAAACCACCGCTAGAGTCCAAGTTCAAGGAATTTCTCTTAATTGAATTCTCATAGATTTTTTTTTTTGAATAATAATTCTCATAGAAATAGTAATGAATTCAGGGGATATTTTTACTTGAGCTTCGGAAGAGTGTCATTAATCAAGAGAAAAGAGTAAAAATCTATTTAATAAGTGTTAAAAAAAATGAATTCCAAGGTTTTTATCTATTGATTTAATCAATTTTAATTATTTTCTATATTATTTCTCTGCTTTAAGTTAATTTAGTTTAATTAGATTAATTGGTTGATTAAGTTAATTTTAGTGCTTAAAAAAAGATTTAGTTTAATTTCTTCATAGTAGCAATAGTTTACTACTTCTTGGGATACATGCACTTGTATGGTTTATCCAACAACAAATATTTATTTAAGGTCCCATATAAGTAGTAGCCTAAAGTGAGGGATGTTACAAGCAACAGAACTAAATTTAGAAACAAGTTTAAAATAAGGGCACATTTTTCTTATATACCAAAATACTGAATCATTCATCATAGCTTTGGGTTACTAGAGTAGAAGTCGAAATAAAAGCTAAAGATAAAAGCCACTGTCAAAGATCACTTCTTTAAGGCTTTTAATGACAAATCGACCTTAGAAGTGAAAGATATCGAGTTGAATTTTTCCAGAATTTCGATTCAGCAGAGTTTAATTTTGGAGAAAGAATTTACTGAAGAGGAAATATGGGAGACCTTAAAGTCTTGCAATAGCAACAAAGCCCCGGGGCCGGATGGTTTTAATTTGGGTTTTTTCAAGAGATATTGGCATGTTCTTAAAGGGGAAATTATGAAGTTCTTCTTCAACTTCTATTCGGGGAAAGATTGGGATCATGGCATCAACCATACCTTTATTACTCTTATTCCTAAGGTCTTGAACAGTGGTGACCTTGATGATTATAGGCCTATTAGCTTAGTTGGTGGATTATATAAGATCCTATCTAAGTGCCTATCGAGGAGGTTGAGGAACTGTATTTCAGACTTAATTAGTCCTACTCAATTTGCCTTCACCCAAGGGAGGCAAATATTGGACTGTTCTTTAATTGCGAATGAAGGGGTGGATTATTGGAGGAAAAATGGTCTTAAAGGTTGTGTTCTCAAGGTAGATTTCAAGAAAGCGTATGATTCGGTGGAGTGGGACATTTTGTTTCTAGTAATGGAGAAAATGGGATTTGGTTCCAGGTGGAGAGGTTGGATCAGAAAGTGTGTAACCACAGCTTCAGTTTCTGTTTTAGTGAATGGAGTTCCTACTGAGGAATTTGCAATGGCTAAAGGTCTTAGACAGGGGTGCTCTCTATCACCTCTGTTGTTTAATTTTATTGGAGAACTTCTCAATCTGATAATTGTGAAGGCTGTGGAACAGGGTCTGTTTCTGGACTGGTTTTAGGAAGGAGTGTTGACGCTTTAAAACTATCTCATCTACAGTTCGCGGATGATCTCATTATGTTTTGTGGTGCATCCAAGACGCAGATTTTAAATGTGAAGAGGGTGCTTAGAGTGTTTCAAGTGGTTTATGGTTTACAACTCAACTTGAAGAAAAGTAAAATGTTTGGTGTGAATATGAATGAGGAAGAAGTTCAGCAGTGGGCTAACTCTATCGGATGTTCTATGGGTAGTTTTCCCTCTGAATATTTAGGTCTGCCTTTGGGTGCTACTAGGAACTCTACAGCACTTTGGAATCCGGTGGTGAATAATTTTATGAATAAATTAGCGGGGTGGAAGGCTGCTTCACTGTCATTAGCAGGAAGGTTGGTTTTAATAAAGTCGGTTCTATGTTCGCTCCCGACGTATTATTTATCTTTATTTAAGATACCAGCTAAGGTTCTTAAATCTCTCAACTCCATTATGGCGAATTTCTTATGGGGTGGGGGAGTAGATAAAATAAGATACATTGGGTTAACTGGCCGAATGTGTGCAAGTCAAAATTCGAAGGGGGTTTAGGTGTTAGAAACCTTGGTTTCATGAACAGAGCTCTTCTAGCAAAATGGTATTGGAGGTATGCTAATGAAAGGGGGTCTGTTTGGAGGGAAATCATTTGTTCTAAATACAAAATGGATCCATCTTGGTTAATGTTTGACAACAAAGTCCCACAAAGAGTATCTTGGATTTGGAGATCGGTGGTTTCGAATCACTTTAAAGAAGACAGTATTGGCTCTAAGTTTAGAAGTTTGTATTCTTTCCGAGTTGGGGATGGCAGATTAATTAGGTTCTAGCAGGATAATTGGGCGTTGGACTTTCCTCTTCTAATTATTTTCCCTCGATTGTTCTCCATTTCCACAAACAGAATGGGTAAACTGGTTGAATTTGGGAATTACAGCTCATATGGATGGAGTTGGGATGTGCAGTTTAGAAGAAATTTAAACGACTGGGAAGTAGAAGAGTGGGTTAACTTGATGAATGCTATCTCCTCTGTTTCTCTATCTACGGAGTTATGTGATGGGGTGATGTGGAAAGGTACTGGAGATGGGGTATATACTGTTAAATCTGGCACTAAGATTTGTTCAACCATTATTTTGGATTCGGAAGAAGTATATTTCTGGAAGAAGATTATTTGGAGGGGCCAGATTCCACCTAGAGTGGAGTCCTTTATGTGGCAGGTGGTGTTAGGGAAGCTGGCTGTTAGGTCAGAACTTATTAAAAGGAGAATTCAAGGAATTGTAGACATTAGGTGCCCTCTTTGTAAGAGAGAGGTGGAGTCTCCATCGCACTTGTTTTTCACGTGTTCGGTGGTGTGGATGATTTGGAACAAATTTCTGAATTTCTGGAAGATTAAGTCTGTTTTGCATTTTAATGCGAAAAAATTCCTACTTGCTTGGGCTGAGTTGAAGTCTTCTTCTATAATTTGGTCTTTTATTCCTGGGGCAGTTATTTGGACTACTTGGAAAGTAAGGAATCTCATTGTGTTTGAAGGGGGAAAGCTGGATTTGGCTGAATATTTTTTCCTAGCAAGGTTTAGACTAGCTTCTTGGTTCCTTGCTAAGTACAAAGAGGTGTCTATTCCTAAGGATTCTCTTATTTCAGACCCTTCATTAGGGATTTGTGCTCTCTGCATCCTAATCGGCTTGTATCTATATTTCCTTGGTCTCCTCCTCCTCAAGGTTTTGTAAAGTTAAATGTTGATGCAGCTACTACAAGAGATTGGAAGAAGAGTGGGATAGGAGGTGTTCTAAAGGACTCCTCGAGTTCGACTTTAAGTTCTTTCAAGGAATCTGCCGGTCCGGGAGCTCCAACTTTTATGGAATTAAAAGCTATTCAAAAGGGTCTAATGTTCTATGTGAATTTACGAGACAGGAAGGGTCGTCTGATTATTGAAAGCGACAGCAAAGTTGCAGTAGATTGGATTAAGAAAGAGGATCTAGTTCCTGATGTTTATGCGTTTTTGATCAAAGATATTGTTCATAGGCTTAATGTTTTAGAAGGTGTTGTAAGATGGGTTAATAGGTCAGCCAATCTAGAGGCTGATGCCTTAGCTAAAGAAGGAATTGGCTGATTCTATTCTAGTCTTATATTTCGGGTGTTTTATGGTTGTTTCAAGTTTATTTGGTTGGTGGGGCGTACGATGGTTGTATCTTATGTAATTTTATGGTTCAATAAAATCCTAAGGCGCTCTTTTCTCCTTCCACTGATTAAGGAGTTCATATAACTCCATTAATCAAGAAGGGGGTTTTAACGAGGCCTGAAACTCTTATAAAAAAAAGGCTAAAGATAAACCAAATTCCAAAAGAAAAATGTGGCATTCAAATGAAATGTTGTTAGACAATTAAAAGACCGACCTATGTTTGCAGGTAGCCTCTGTAAGTTGGGTAACCATCATTGGGAAGGTGACACTAATACCCTGCATACGCAAGACAAATATAAATTTTAAATGGAAGTTTAAATGCCAAGATAAGCGGACTAACTGTCCCAAATCCAGAAGGTGCATATGGAAGCTTTAAATTCCTACAAGCACAGAGCGGAAATACAAGGATAAAAGAATACCTGATATTCAGCAAGCATCTCTTCAGCATCAGTCAATTTCCATGCATTACACTTTGTGGGTGGAGAAATCACCTCTGAGACATTCTTGAGCCATTTTGCTCCAAAAATTAATGAGCTCAACAAATTACCAGAAGAAAGCATAATAGAGAGGCTCTCCACGGTATTCATCAAACTCTCAACATCCTGTGAAATAGAACCCATCATAGATGTGAATAGGAAGAAACAGCACTTATGAATATTGTTAAGCAATAAGACCTCAAGAAAAAACACAATTTTTTTCTTTCTTTTTTTTTTGGGGGGGGGGGTGCACCAAAACCAGGTATAATTCAAATTATTCAATGTTCTAAACAACTAGGGCATGCAAAACAAAGTACCAAAAATTGTTACCTCGTAAGAAGGCATCAAATAGCAGAAAGAAAGGACTTTATTGCACCAATGCAGTGTAGAACAAGCATTTTCAAGCTTTGGAATCTCAGGAAAATCCAGTCCAAGAGATAAACCAGCTTTTGTTACAGATTCAAGCAAGTTAACAAGATGTTCAATTTTCAAAATAAGACCATTGCTCCTACCATCCCCAATGTCGGTCACACAATACAGGCACTCCAGATCTTGCAGCAGAGAATAAGCATCACGCTGCCATCTCTTGCTATCTTCCAAAATAGTTTCAAGCACATCTTGTTGCTTAAATGTCATCTTATGAAATCTCAACTGAGAAACCAACTCCTGAAAAATATAAAACCACCTTCTCAAATTTGTTTCAGCAACTTCAGTAGATATATAATTAAGGAACAATAAGTACCTTCAAATCATCAAGTTTCAGCAAAGAACGAGATGTGGATGACTCAGAAAAGTCAGATTCTAAAAATTGCTTGCTATTATTTAACCATAAGTTAGCCACCGATATTGCAGTTTGGACATCATCTAATGAAGGCATAATAGCAACTATGTTGTCCGACATCCTAAAAAGAGATCAAATTCAGTATGATCATACGCAACAAGGGAGCAATACATAGAACTCAGTGAGGTCACTGAGGTGAGGCATGGTAGCAACTGATCACCAAACCTTATAAGATCCTCAAATTCAGACATCTGAGCTTTGCGTGCAAGTATATCCTTTGCTCTTTCTTCCCATTGCAGGGCACCAGCAAGTTCTCTAGACAAACTAAGAAATAACTCCTCCGTCTCAATCTGCAAACTGAGAGGAAAACACACCAGAATGAGACTTAGAAGCAGGAAAAGTGTAACAAAGACAACACTTGGTGACATCGGTTGTGAGTAAAAATTAAGGGAGAGAGTGCATTACACAACAGCATCTGCTAACAGTTGCTGAAGAAAGTCCAAAGCCATTTTTGTATTGTGTGCCTAAATCATAAAAATATATGCTGTAAATATTAGGTAATTATAAACATAAGATATCATGATGCATGCAATCTGAAATACTAACATGTAAAAGCTGAAAGAGAAAGGATATATTTACCTTCATTGCCTTTTCCCTGCAACAAGCCTTCTTCAACTCAATCTTCGCAAGTGGCAACTCATCGACTGTTTAGAGTAAAAAATAAACCAATAACAAAAGAATAGTCCAAACAAACACCAAAGAACATTTATGTATGGCTATTAGAAGAACCTTGAATCTTCAAAGACTTTCCATCTTCTAAAAGGCAATTTAATTCATTAATAGCACTTTGTTGATCCTCTCTCTGATTGATATTTATCATAATATCATTAAAGCGTGTGATCCAAAAAGAAGCATCAATCTGGTATTGCTTTAGAACTCTCAACTCTGGTATGTTAACACTGAAACTTGCCATTTCTTGAAGAAGCACTTCAACATCCTGCACAATTAAGAGTTCAAAGTACAAGTTCTTAAAAATCCATGTGCATTTATAAGTGGAAACATAAGATCGAAGTGACTACCTTTAGAGTCATGGAACCACTCAATAAATATCTACACCGGGCCTGACATGATTCAGCCAGGCATACAATATCAAAAATCATTTCTCTTTCCTGAATTTGGACCTGAAGCTCCAATATCTATCCAAAAAATGATGAAATGTCATAAATAATATAAAAAGAGAATCACAACCATACTCTCGGGTCTTTTTTCTTCAAAGAAGAGAGATATTTTATGATGTAAAGAAATTCAATCACCTCCGACTTTAACTTGTAAAGAATGCCAACCTCCACTGCTGCAGGCCGTTCATCAAAGATAGCTTTCCTTGCATTGTCTATCCATACCTGGGGGTCCTCAATGATGGAAGTGGATCAGGAATGACAATGGACATTCATAGATAACAAAAAAATAATTTTGAATGTTAAAGGTATACCTTTACGAAAGAGATTTTTTGCGATAACTTTTCACTTTGAGCTACATGGATTCGTGAGCTGCAAGCCCTTGAATACAATAACTCCAACTCATCGATCTAGAATTAGACAATGAAAATATTAGTCAAAACTCCACATGATAGAGAAAGGAGAGTCCAGTCCAAACAATAAACTCTCCAGATAATAAAAAACATTAACTTTAATTCATTGGAATAAGAAGTAGAAGCGTGTCCAGACTCCAGATATACCTTAGAGCACGTTGATAAAGCAGCATCAATGTCCCGAACCAACAAATTTCCCTCTTCAGCAAAATCCTACACAAAATAAACAGTTCTAAGAACTAACACACAGAGACAAGATAAGAGACTAAGCAATGCTACACTGCTGTACCTTCAACTTGAGATATCCAGGCTCATTACAGGGCACAGGATCAACACTAAGCAATTTGTTAACCAGTTTATGGGTCACTTTCTCAAAATCAACTCCAGGAGACCAGTTTTCAATTTTAGTAAGACAATCTCTTATGCCTTGTGCCCATTTCCGAGCAGCAGTCAGATTCTTTACCGCATCCCGGACCTATATTACATGAAAAATAGTTGCTTTATCTATCATTATAATAATGTGCAGAAGAAGAGCATATACGGGAATGAACCATATCAGGCTCAAAAGCTTACAGAATCCATCTCATCACCAGCCCAAAGAAACTGTTCAGCTTCCTTTAACAGACTAGTATATGCATCACCATCAAAAGGACTCTGCAATATCTTACACGAGTGCGAAAGCCATTGTTCTGCAAGTTGAGTATGAGTAACATGGGCACCTTTCACCTACATGCATTAAATTAGTTATGTACCCACACAAAGCTAAGCATCCCATCATAAACAGAAAGTCACTAAATTGCTAAGTATTGACATTCAGGGATCATTCTCTTGTTATTGAAACACACTAAAGAACAAACAATTCCAGTAAGAACTAGTGTACCTGTCTCTATAGAAATTTTCAAGGCAATGTAGATGCCAAATAACTCATCAAAGGCAATACATGTCTACAACTTCAACCACCAAAAAGGGTGAGAAAGGTGTATTACCAGATAGGATACTACGGCTTTACAGGGAATGAAGTAGAACATGGCAGGCCATATTAAAGAGTTTTAACAAATCAAAATTCTAGGTAGATCCGATTTCTGAACCCAATCGAAGAGTCTTCACTTGAAATTCTAGTATTAATGGTCACCAACATGAGCAATAGGAATCATAAAGGAAACCAAAGTTAAACTCACTAACCAAACAAGTATGTCAAGAAGCATTTCACAATAAACTAATCTTCACCTGTCCGATAGGACCCTTTGACTACTAATTTCCACTTAACCACCATAAAAAATCAATAAAGCTATCAAATTATTAAATTAAGGCTACTCCACATTCATGGTATAAACAAAGCTCATTACAAACAAAATAAATAAATGGAGCATTTTTTGACAAAAATCAAAAAGAAAATGATAACCTTCTTTTTTAAAGCATTCAACTCCTTGGAAGCTGAAATATTCCTTCGTAAACTATCATTTTGGGGTGTCTCCTCCGAAGCATGCTTGTCCACCATAAGCACTAAATCAGCCAATTCTGCCAGAGTATAACGATAGAGAAGACGGAGTTTACTGGATTTACACTCACAGAGGTGTTCCCAATGCTGCATAATTTATTTAAAAAAAAGAAAGCAACATCAGAATGGAAGAAATTAGCCTCAAAAATCTAAATCAGCAAAATAAAATTCATTTGAAGTAAGACTGGGAAGGGCACACTAACATCTAATGGGTGGAACGCAAACAGAATGCTTTGTATCATTAAAAATATAAAAAAAATGCATGTGGCTTCAAGTTTCCAATAACCAGGCATCAGGAAACAATACCAATAAGGGCAAATACGGTCGGAAAAAACTGTTTTCTTTTGAAAGTAAAGGAACTGAATTTCAGAGGGGCAAAAGCTGTGTGTTGGTTTTTTTTCAGGGGGGTTAATAACAATTTTAATGAACAAATTTCAAAATTTTAAATGTAATGAGGATGCAAATGAAATAAGAATAGAAAATATCAAACAATTTAGGTTACCTCCAGGCAGACGAAAGCAGATGGCCTGCAGCGGCAAACAACAGCGGAAAGATACAAATACTGCTTACATATAATGCATGTTGGATCCTACAAAAGCCACCGTGAGATATTGTCATGATCAAATATTATCTTGCTATAAAGCAATGAAAATAACACCATCGCTTAGTACTACCTCTTCAGTACCCACAAATTCAGGAGATTTCGAGGAGACATGGGAGATGATCTTGTTATGCCACTTAGCCAAAGCCTCTCCCTCCATGTCCTTTCATTTTTATATATTCTGAGCAATTCTGTTTTCAAATAAGTTGATGCCTTACTATCCCAATCGCTCCGCTAACCAAAAGAATTCAATAAAAAGTTAGGAACCATTTTAACTCTGACATCTACGTTCAACATATGATAAATTTAACCTCATCAGTCATATATCCCAAACACTCTGATAACCAAATGATGCAACAACAAAATACAAATCATTTGAATTCTGGCAGCTAATTCAACATGGGATAAATTTAACATCAGTCATTGGCCTCACATTCTTCTTGGTTTTATTTTTAAAAATAGCTAAAAGAACATCAAATAATCCGTTTTATGACACTTATTCTTGAAGTAATGAATAACAATGGGTATGGGAAGTTATACTTTGGCCACCACACAAAGAAGCTCCTCATGAGATAAAACTGCAGCTTTACGATATAACTGATATAACTCTGCCCCAGAACCACCATGTGGTAACCAATCAGCAGGAGCAAAATTCACCGCCTCTGCACAATTTAAACCTGAAAAGACAATGAAAAGTTCACTGAAAATAATTTTTTTCAAGTTTAGACCCACTAAATCATACCTTTAATTAACAAATGACTAGCTTGTAAAATTATGACAGCTTACTTGCCCAAATTGAATCCTCCATGATAAGATCTAGGGAACGTAATGACAAAATTTCCTGGCTCCTAGGAAACAACAAGCAAGAAAAATTTATATAAAGGGCAACTAGGACAGCACACAGAATAGATAACATAAACCAAATGTAAGGGGTATGTTAATAACTGCGTAGTGGGCACTAGTTAAGGTGATATTTAAAGGAAACCAAATCTGTAATTAACACATTGTCCCTCTTGATTTTAGTGAGAATAGAGCATTAAATGGAAAAACCTTCTCAAAATAGAATTTTAATACCCTAAACTAGAGACTATAGGCACCTTTTAACTGGACACAAACAAAAGAAAAAAATATTTGAAAGAAAGATATAAAACAGCGAACTCAAAGTTCACATGAAAATAAAAACTCATACATACCTAACCATGTAATAGTATAAACACAAACTCAGAAAACTTCCATTGGAAAATTTCAGTGAATATATGAAGAAAAAACTACATATACAAATGGATTGCAATCACTGAACATCAAACTTAGCCTACTGAGTTATAAAGACATGGCCGCTTTTAAGAAATCGAAAGAGTTGAGCAAACATAAATCATGAACAGTTTTCTTAATTCAACTGTAAAATAAAAACGATGACAAAAAAACCTGTAGCACACTATAGACTGGGACACCATTTTCTTGCAAGACAGATGGATTTAACATCGTAACAAGCTGAAAGAGCAAGTCAGGTTGCGCATCAAATAGATCAGGCAGACAATCCCGCATCACCTACAAAAACAAGAAAAGCTCAGCTGCATTCATACTTTGGGAAACAAGAAAGAGTAATACTCAAATTCATGAAATGCAAGAGAAGAACCATGAATGCATCAGCTAGGGTACTCACAAACCATTCACCAGAAGGAAAAACAAAACAGGTGAAATCATATTGCTAGTACAAAAAATAATTAGATGTTTATATCATATAAAGTAAGGGGGAAAACAAAATAAGAAAAGAAGAGTATAGTCACAAGAAAAAAGCGGCTTTAAATGAGTTGCATGTCAAAGTGAAACGTATGACATTAAATCTCTGAAACTCTACCTTCTCAAAAGCACTAGCTTCACTGCCAGGGACACTGTACCAGCATTTAGGTTCTCCCCTGAAAACACAAAGTATAACCATCAAACTTCACAAATGAAATTTTATGCATGTATTCTGGAAAACAAAAGAGGCACAGATCAACCAAAGTATCAAAAGATTAAAATATATAAATATGTATTATGTCTTTTTCCAATAAGGTATGTCAATATCATGCAAGTAAATTGAAACATATGTGCACTGAATTATTTATATTGTTACTTAAAATATTTTCCTCAGTCGTCAGTAATGTCTTGATTGCTTATAAAGGAACCTGAACAGAATTCATAGATGAGAAGCATAATAAGTTGTAAATGGACCAGACACCATAGATGCGTGAATTATATCTGAGCATGGACATACAGACACACTCAGAACCTAATGTTGATCTAGTCTGAACCATCTTCCAGATACTATAAGTTCTATCCTAGGCTAACTTTCATTCAGCCTCTAATGAAATACATCTGAACCATTTAACTTTAGCAGACATTTTGGCTGCTATAAAGCACACGGTCTAGAAATAGGAATGCCGAAACAAATTTTATAACATAACTGCACAAATCAGGTCCCAGCCAAACCTCAAAAGTAGTAACAACAACGTCAACATGATCTACTGAAAAGACAAGAGCAGAAGACATTAAAGGAAACATACCAGTGAAGGTAATTCATTGAATAAAAACAATGATCTTCAAAATGCCAGCAGAAAGCAGAGAATAGCATTCCAATATACAGCCAAGGAACCATGACACCAGTAATGTTATGATGAACAGCTCTCAGCATCGAACCTTTCAACTTGGGCAAGTTATTGAGATTCCATGGGCTCCTACAGTATTCATCCCAAGCTTTAAGCTCAACAGATTCTGGCCTCTGGTCATTTATACGTGGAAAACCGCTCCCATAAACAGAAGTATCCAGATCACTTCCATACATAACTTCCACCTCACCTGCCAAACCCTCCACAATCTCCCAAAACATTTTCTCTATCTGTGCCCTTGAAATGCATCCTGATCCAAACCATTTCTTCTTGGCTCGATCAGCCAAACGCCTAAAAGCTTCCAATGTAAACTGTTTTCCAGAAATAAAACCAAAACTATCTTTGTCAGAATTCAGGCACTCAAAGCAGTACCAATTTCCTGGTGGAACCTGCTTCAATGGTGGTGACAGACAATATATATGCCACCCCTTATTACATCTATCACACAGTAGCATCACTTCCCCATGTAACCCACTACTGCATTGCTCACATATCTGATCAAGATCTTCTTCCTCCACCTTACAATCCTTAACATTTTGATGGTGACTATTCTTCCTTCTTTTCTTGCAGCTATAAATATTAACCTTCTTTTCACTCTCTGCATCCTCACTGATGCCTCTCTTGTAACTCTTTGCTCTCTCCCGATTCAGCCGTTCATAATAAGCTTCATAATCATATAAATGCTCTCTATACAACTGCCATAAAACATGCTTAGCACACTCTGAAATCTTCTTCTTCAAGGACCTCACAAACCTAAAAACCTCCCCCCACTTTTTTCCCTTCACAACCTTATCATAACCCCCATACCTCCTCACTGCATTAAACAATTTACACAAATCCAACTCCTCCCCTTCAAAAATCAAACTCTTCTTCAACTTCTTACCACAATGTCCTTCCAAAAACCTATTATACTCTAACTCAAAGGTCTTTGAATCACAAGAAGCAGGCCGTGCCTGCAACTGGTGAATAGCTTGTGTTTTAGTAGGAAAAGTAAAAGACTCCACGTTCACGGCAAATGGAGGGTTCCAAGTCTTAGGTGGAACAATCTTACAAATCCCATATGTCTCAGCCTCAGGCCTGATCTTATAAATATACTCTAATGGGTCCCTGAACTCCTCTTCACTGGGGTAAAAAACCGGCCCTGACTGTATATTCGATGACCCAGTGGATGAGACACTCAAATTTTGCCCTGTTTCAACTGCCCTAGGTCTCCCTTTCCCCATCACCGCCACCACCTCAACCTATACATACAATCTAGACAAAACAACATGCATATAAATACGATCACATAACTGTTTCTGACACTAACAAGTCCTTTGGTTCAAATATATGTAAGAAAAATAGAGCAAGATTTTCTAGGGTTTTAAGCGTACCTTTAGTGTTGATTGTGAGGTTGCCTTTGTTAGTGAAAGATAAAAGGAAAAGACTTGAAGACTCGAGTTTCGTGGGAGATTTGTTTCTAAAGTAAAATTGGATGAAATGTTTGATATTTATAAAAGAAAAGGAAAGGCATGTGCTTTTACTTAAAAAGGACTAAGTTTGGACAAATTACGAAATTGGTATTTCGCTTTCCTGTGCTTTTGTACTGGAGACTGCGGATCTATAGTCGTGATTGCTGTGAGCATCTAATGACTTTTCAGGAAATATCAACACGCTATGTTGGGATTGCACGCGCTAGGTCATCGACGGCAAATGATGATGAAGGGTGAAAACCATGGGTCAGATCTAATTGCGTGTTATTAAGAGTCGGTCTTGGCGACTGCCGTTGCATGTTTTAGTGTCTAGATATTACCGTTCTCGTGCGCGTGTAATTGATATATGGTCAAGATTTTGCTAACTACATTTAAAATATAAAAATAAATTGTATGATGATATTACAAATATACTATATATTAAATAGAGTAGAATTCATCAAACGTGTTCAGTAAGTATTCTTTTATTTTTAGAGGTTTTGATTTCACGTAGCACAGTAGTATCTGAATTCTGGCAGGAGGAATACCTAAGGTCCAAAATTACATATAATTGAAGAAAAGATAAATTATTTATTTAGTCCATCATCTATTATTTCATTTTTGTTTTGGTCATCTAATTATTATTTTGCTCAAATCAAATCTAGTATTATATCGTTGTGACATTTTTTTAATTTATTGTTAACATTTTTTATATAATTATTCTTTTATTATTTTTTGACAAGATAAATATTGCTGAAATAAAATCCTAGCTCTCCTAAAAAGAGGGTTATGTTTGTTTTGTGTGATTAGTTGAGTGTTCAATAAAATATCTTGATATTTTCTATTTAGAATTTTATGTATTTATCAAATAATTTATTAAAAGTAATTAAAAATACAATTTAAAAGCAAATTAATTTATCATGACTTTACTTAATCTTACATTTCAATTTTTTCCAATACTCTTTAATAGAGGTCCAATTTCTATGTTTGCTTTCGGGACACCAAAATCTAATAAACATATCTGTCGAGTAGTTGCATCTACAAGTTCTGTCTGTGTTGTCAATAGTTGAAAAATATTATGAACAAATATTATTTTGTAATCACTCAAACTATTTCAAATATATAAATATAATATCAAAAATATCTTTTGTTTGAGGATAATGTGTAATACCCTAAATTTTGGTTAGTGATCAAAATATAAGTTTTGAAAGTTTAGTGGTCAAAGTATAAATTTTAGAAAAGTTTAGGGATCTAAATGATAATTTTCCCAAAAGAGTTGTAATATCCTAAATTTTGGTCGTGACGAAAATATAAGTTTTGAAAGTTTAGTGGCCAAAGTATAATATTTGGAAAAGTTTAGGGATCTAAGTGGTAGTTTTTTTCCAAAAAAAATATTTCATAAATAGATAGTTTACTCTTAAGAGTGAGGTTTTATTGAAATCAGATTTTTGATCCGGAATTTATGTTGAAAACTAGAAATGGATAAAGTCCGGTAAAAAATTGATAAATTGAATCGAATAGAAATTTCAGTAAAAATTGAAGGATGATAAATTAGGCTTAAAAATATTATTTACATATGTTAAATAATGGAAAATAATATAAACCATTAAACTTAAGGATTTAATTACATGTTAAATTTGGATTGTTGGATTAAAGTGGTAAGATTACAATTTTTGGAAAGTTGCATGGGTAAAATGGTAAAGGGTGAAATAATTTGATCATCTTTGACTTTTGGAAGATGATAAGGTTGAGGTGGCTTGGTTTGATGGTAATTATGAAGTTTCATTAAGGGTAAAATGGTCTTTTCTCAATTAAATGAATATAATATTCATTTAAGCTTAAATAAGGCTAAAGTAACATGAAATTAGTTTAGAAATTTCATGAAACTTATCCTATTTTTCAGCTCTAAGTCGTGACTCCATCCTAAGGTAAGAGAAAAGTTATTTTTCTCTTTTGAGCAATTTCCTTTGAATTTTGGATTATGCCGTGAAATAGAAAATTATTTATACGGAAAATGATATCATTTAGTACCAATATTGCATGTTAATATTGCTTGTATTCAAAGATCCCAAATTCTAGGGTTTGTGTTCATATTAGGGTTTATGAAATTGATGAAAGATTATGATGTTTTTGTGGTTGTAGAATCATATACAAGCATGATTATTGATGAAAATAACTTGTACATGGCTATTTAAGCATGTGTTGAATTTGGTCAAACCCTAACTTTAGGGGAAAGATGTATTTTAATTAAATTAAGTTAGGGGTTTGATTGTAGAGGTCTTGAAATGTTGAATAGAGGTTGGTTTCATACTTGAATCAAGTGAAAATCATGAGATTTACACCCCTAAAATACTCGGCCATAAGGAAATAAGTTGGAAAAATTGTAGAAAATTTTACATGGCTTAGAAATGATATTTGGAAGGTTCTACAAGCCTTAGAATTTTTTGGTCATTTTGTAATTTTTCAAAAGTTGAGGGACCTTGTTAGTAGTTTTGATAAGTTATGGATTGAATGTGTAATTATTCAATAATTGATATTTGTTTCTGAAAATACTGTTTGAGGGTTAAAATTGAAGTTAGAATGTGAAATTAAGATATTTTAAAAGTTGGCAAAGTTTAAGTACAAAATGATAAATATTGAGAAAGTTAGTGGCTTAATTGGTAATTATGATATTACTAAGATGATGGACTGGAAAGTAAATGCTAGAAATTTAGTTTACTTGTTTGGGATTGAATTGAATAATTTATGACAATTGTCCATTATGAATAAAAGGAAAAAGTTAAGATGATTTTTTAAAAGAATTCGAAAATAATAATACTAGTGAGTATTATTATTTTGTATAAATGTTAGTAAGGATGCTAACATTGTATTTTATATTTGTATGTTTGAATATTGATGCTTGTGTAGATCGTAATCAAATTCGTGAGACAAGCAAACAAAAATGCAAGGAAAAAGTTTCAGAATAGTCGAACTACCGTAAGGTATAATAGTGAGGCATACCATGTGAGCGCATTTATTATGTACTTATATGATATGAGGACGACTTGCGATCAGTCAACCTCGAATGTTTTTATAAAAACATGATTTACCGTATTTTGAAATATTTTCATAATGATTTTACGAAAAATTTTAGGGTATAAACTGCCCTAAAATAGATTGATAGACTTTTATATTATTTTAACAACTATCGATATTTCAGAATAAATGTTTAATATGCAAATTTGATTTAAAGGCCTATTGTATGTGCATTGAGAGTCATAGGTGCATTTTGACATATTTTGTGTATTATGGTTATCGATCGATTTTATTTAATGCATATGTTGCATTTTTGTATCAGTACTTTGTGTGCTTACAGCAATATGTGTGCATCTACAGTATTTGTAACCCCCTCAGACCGATACGGATAATCCGATCCGATCTGGAGTGTCACATTAGGGCCACCGGAGCGACCTACTGTAAAAATAGCATAAAATTTAAAACTTTTCTTAAAACATGTAAAATCATAAATGATTTATTATTATTCATAAATAAAATAGGTTTTTCAAACTCAAATATAAAACAAAATACAATTCACATGCCCCCTAATCACATGTACCATGCTCTGCAAGCAACGCCGGAAGAATTCCCTCACTGATGTTGATAGATGTACTCGTACAATTCTTTTAACCTGCAATGATGAGTAATAGAGTGAGCTTCGAAAGTTCAGTAATACAAACTACCAGATGATGCTACATGACATGTAGATAAATGGGAAGCAATAATTTCCTTATTGAATCAAACGTATACCAGTTGTGGAATAATCATTAGTAGTTCATCGAGTAAAATCCATGAATCTCAGTTTATAAGAAATCTTTCATACAGTCACATTTTCATGAGGTCGAATAGGATATCTAGTGTGTTCCATCAATACGATAAAATCATAATAGGTACACTAATCAAATGATAGTTTAGTAAAATCCCATAAACCATACTAATGGAGCTTTTTAAACTCGTATTTTAAACCATCCTAAAAAGAGTTAACCTAAGGGAACATCTTAGGGCCTAGAGCCTACCCAAGAAAGTTTCGGGGCCACGGGGCCTACCTAAGAACACATCTTAGGGCCACATGGCCTACCGGAGAATGATCTCAGGGCCGCATAGCCTACCTAAGAGTCACATTAGGTCATAAAATTTTTTTCAGCTTGATCAGAGCTGTACTTTACAAATCAGTATCTCCAAGATACAATTTATACCATGATACAATTCCATAATCCATCACCATTAAGTCGATGCATCCATAAAATAGTAACCATATATTTCAGTGTACCTCATGTTAAAACAATAAAACAATTTATTAATAAATAGGAACACACTAGAGAATCTAAATATTTTTCAAGTGCATTTTGTAGTTACCAGTATGAATAACATGAACTTGTGCAATTTGACCGGATTCTAGGAACAAAGTCCTATTGAAGAGAATCGATTACTAACCGACATAATCAGACATTTAAGGTTGATGCTTTAGAATCCCACTATGATTTCATGTGCATCTGGAAGGCGTTCAGGAATGTCCGGAGTGATTGGAGCTAATCAAGGAGAAACGGATATTCAATATATTTACAATCCATGTTGATCGATCGGTTTATCGAACAATTCAAACTGAACAACTCTCAGAACTAATGCATGTCGACCCGTCAATTACCGCCTTTCCAGAGTATTCACTCTTAAGTACTAAAAATTCTTATTCATAATCATCTTCGTAATCATCGATGAATAAATCTTCTAACAGACTTTATTTCATTTCCACGTTTCAACGATATCATGAAATACAGACATACTTGATTCATGGTTCATGACTCGTAAAGACAATTCATCTTGTAAGTTCAACAGTGTTTCCATACTCATCCAATCACTTATTTAATCCTCAGACGTTGAGGTTACTTAGTTCATTTAGCAATCATATTTATCCCGATTACTTTAGAGTTTTCCAGAGTAATTCAGACGTTTCTAATTTCAGATACATATTGTACTATCTTTCAGTTCAATTTAGTCAATATGATATTCGTGGTTGATTTGTCTCACGAATATCCCCTTCTTAGTATCGAATGCGCTCTAGAGCTGAGCTGAGCTCATTACTTCCAGAATTATCATCTATCCACACTTGTGAATACTAACACGCATTCAAATGATATTTATGCCATTTGGTATTGATATAGCTTTAGGGTTGATCTACTCACTTAAATTGTGTTCCATTACTTTTAAGGGTAATACAACACCTATGTTTATTTGAATTCCTTAATTAGCCCAAGACATTTACTTAGTCTAGGCCATAAGGTCATTTTGGTCATTTTGGTGTTCAATGTTTTTCCATTCATTTCAAAGCTTCAGGATATCCATTCATTCCTGGCTTGGTGATATTCTTGATTCATTTCCATTACAAGGGTATTTTGGTTATTTTACAGATCTAGTGTATTTCAATCATTTCCTTCCATCCAATCTTATTATTTAATCCAAACTTATCATTTACTTCAGTCATTTCAAACAATTCTAACAAAAGAGCAACATCTAAAAAATATTTGTCATGTACTTACTAAATTCGGTGCCAAGTTGAATACCTTCTCAGATGTTAGTAACGAATTATTAGTAATTTTCCATATAAAAATAGGATCTCAACAATTAAATCCGTACTTAATCGAGTTAAGTACGAATCTTCAAAGTACTTTCTCATTCAGGGTCAACTCGAACTATTTTACCTCTCAAGGGCATTTTCGTAATTTCTTAACCAGATAATTTTGATATTAACTCTTAACAAAAATAATTATAATATAGAGATCCTATGATTAATTGCTTTCTTGAACATTCTCTGCTCTTGAAATGATTCCCTTAACAACTTCTAGTATCTTGTACAAACGACCTTGGGGTTAAAAATCAGATATCCAAATTTTCTAAACAAAACTAGCATTTCTTATGCACATCTAAAATTTTATCAGATCAATATGTCTTTAAAAATCCTTTATCCAACTTCTATGGTCAAATCTTGTCTTTTTACAACATAAGGGTATTTTCGTAATTTTACCTTACTATAGTATTCTCATAATTTTTCATCCAAGTACCTTTGATGAAATAAATTATATGTTACAGATCTAAGCTGATTCCTTTATCACTAAACACAGAACTTGTAATTTTAATTCTAACAATCCATCAATTTCTTATAAAAGTCATCTGAACCATAATCATTTACCGATTTTTTTATCGTATTCGGATCGAGTGTAGAAATTAATTAGCTACACATATGAGACCAATAATATCTTATTCATGCATTTACCAATATTCACATGATCCATAAAGCATAAAGAGGTAGTAAAATATTACCTCGATTTTCATGCCATATTGATCGACCATTTAAATTCCATTCGAATGCCCTCGATCTTTAATTCAACTTCCACTAATTTCCTCACAATCCAGGACATAAAAATTATTAACTCGTATCCAAATAATTTCCCTCGCCATGAAAATTAATTTATTAGAATATAAATAATAATTTAGGGATTCAATTGGTAAAATTGTAAACTAATGGTACCACTAAAATAATTAATTACTAAAATCAGGGCTAAAACGAATTAATCTAAACTATCAAAGTTTGGTTGAAATTATACTAAGACTGGAGGACAAAGTCAGAATCTTACCAACAATGGAGAACTAAAGCCATGATTTGCCCCCCATTTTCCATACGCCTCTAAACTACGTAGTTTTAATAAAATCCATTAGAATGCTTTTCCTTCTCCCACGTATCAACTCCATATGTATGATTGATAATTGCTCTCTTTTCCAGAAATGCTTCTAACCTATTATTCCCACCACATCATCAGGATAGATATCCAAGCTTGATAAAGAATCCACCATGGAGGTCTCAGAGACATTATCGCTTCTATCTCTATTTGCTAACTCTAGTGAACCACACATCTTGTCTTCACGGCATTCACTACCAACCCATCACCGATCGTCGTGACCACCGCATCGTCCATCGTTTTCGGTCACCACCCGGGACCCAAAATACATCGCTCGAACGGCCTCATGTTGCTCATCCCAAATCCGAACTTCGATCAATCTCTGCTTTGCCGCAGCTTCTGTTAATTTACCATTCTTGGGTATCTTCAATTCTTCATACTTTGAGAGAGTTTTCTGGATCTCATCGTTCACATTCAAATCTTCGAAAAGCAGGGCCTCATTTTCTGCAGTAGTATCGATGATTCTGAGAACAGTGGATTGGGACTGTCGACATTGTTGGACAAGCGTGGTTGTAAAATAATCCTTAAGAGTATCTTGTTGTGGTGATATGGATAACACAGTTAAAAGAAGCTCGATGATGTTTCTTGCTACATCAAATGCTTCCTTAGTCTGTTCGACGGTAAAGGTTTGGAGAGGAGCATCATGTTGAAGCTGCATGTCATGTTGAAACTGATTTGCAAGACTAGCATATACTTCTGCTGCAGAAACTGAAAGATGAGAGGTAAAATAGGTGCCAAACTCTCGTTATCACCACCAGGAAAATGAATATCCCTTGATTTTAAGCATCTGTTTTATTTGGTTCACGATGCAGCGAACCTAAGCAAAAGACTGAAAACCCCCAGCTCTTTCCAACATTCAACTTTATTTTGAAATAAAATATGACCGTAAAAATTATAATAAAAAAATAAAATCAGTGGCAACTATAAGCTAAAGATAATAGTATTATTACACACTCTTCATCTCTTTCATAATTGAGGAGTGGTTGGCTTGGTGCCTACATATAATAATGGCATTAACAAGTGGCCATAATAATTGCGATGTGCCAATATAAATGTGATCTTAATAATTACTATAGCCAAAACATGTGGCCGACATACATTATTTACAATGATCTTCAAGCTTTCTTCACTATCATTTTCATTATTTTTAAACTAAAATAAATCTAACCCCATATTGGGATGTGACAATTCTCCCCTCCTTAAAAGAAATTTCGTCCTCGAAATTCATTCATATACATAATTGCATAAATGAAACTTCCATCTATCCTTCCATACTTTCAAGTAACTTTTACAACAATGCGAGTTCTTTACTAATCCTTAACCAGGTGAACATACTTTCTTATCATAATTTTTCTTCATTTCAATAAAAGATTCCGAACGAAAATTTCTTTAATAATCAATTCAGTCTTGGTCACGAGAATAGGTACATAGAGTAGCAACATATCACAATTTCATTTCCAGTCGGGTCAAAATTTCTCAGATGAATAACTCTCTCATGGCTCTTAAGGTACTTTACAACGTTTAGACATATGTTACTGGTATTCCTTTTTGTACAAGTATAGCTTTAACGGATAAAAAAAAAACTTCGGTTTACTCGTTACAGATAGGGACTCAGCCCTGGAGTTCCACTCAGAGAGATACGATTGTAGTCTAGGGGCATGTACTGATCAGACATATTTTGACATTCGACCGGCCAGTCTATCTTGAAAATTTTGACTCAAACCATAGCTCTAATACCACTAAATGTAACCCCCTTAGACCGATGCGGATAACCCGATCCGATCTGGAGTGTCATATTAGGGCACCGGAGCGACCCACTGTAAAAATAGCGAAAAATTTAAAACTTTTCTTAAAACATGTAAAATCATAAATGATTTATTATTATTCATAATTAAAATAGGTTTTTCAAACTCAAATATAAAACAAAATACAATTCACATACCCACTAATCACATGTACCATACTCTGCAAGCAACGCCGGAAGAACTCCCTTACTGATGTTGATAGATGTACTCGTACAATTCTTTTAACCTGCAATGATGAGTAATAGAGTGAGCTTCGGAAAGCTCAGTAATACAGAACTACCAGATGATGCTACATGACATGTAGATAAATGGGAAGCAATAATTTCCTTATTGAATCAAACGTATACCAGTTGCGGAATAATCTGGGGTTCCATTAGTAGTTCATCGAGTAGAATCCATGAATCACAGTTTGTAAGAAACCTTTCATACAGTCACGTTTTCATGAGGTCGAATAGGATATCTAGTGTGTTCCATCAGTATGATAAAATCATAATAGGTACACTAATCAAATGATAGTTTAGTAAAATCCCATAAACTATATGTAGTGGAGCTTTTTAAACTCGTATTTTAAACCATCTTACAAAGAGTTAACCTAAGGGAACATCTTAGGGCCTGAGAGCCTACCCAAGAAAGTTTCGGGGCCACGGGGCCTACCTAAGAACACATCTTAGAGCCGCAGGGCCTATCGAAGAATGTTCTCAGGGCCGCAGAACCTACCTAAGAGTCACATTAGGTCCATAAAAAATTTTCAGCTTGATCAGAGCTGTACTTTACAAATCAATATCTCCAAGATACAATTTATACCATGATACAATTCCATAATCCATCACCATTAAGTCGGTGCATCCATAAAATAGTAACCATAGATTTCAGTGTACCTCATGTTAAAACAATAAACCAATTTATTAATAAATAGGGAACACACTAGAGAATCTAAATATTTTTCAGAGGCATTTTGTAGTTACCAATATGAATAACATGAACTTGTGCAATTTGACCGGATTCTAGGAACAAAGTCCTATTGAAGAGAATCGATTACTAACCGACCTAATCGGACATTTAAGGTTGATGCTTTAGAATCCCACTATGATTTCATGTGCATCTGGAAGGCGTTCAGGAATGTCCGGAGTGATTGGAGCTAATCAAGGAGAAACGGATATTCAATACATTTACAATCCATGTTGATCGATCGATTTATCGAACAATTCAAACTGAACAACTCTCAGAACTAATGCATGTCGACCCGTCAATTACCGCCTTTCCAGAGTATTCACTATTAAGTACTAAAAATTCTTATTCATAATCATCTTCGTAATCATCGATGAATAAATCTTCCAACAGACTTTATTTCATTTCCATGTTTCAACGATATCATGAAATACAGACATACTTGATTCATGGTTCATGGCCCGTAAAGACAATTCATCTTGTAAGTTCAACAGTGTTTCCATACTCATCCAATCACTTATTTAATCATCAGACGTTGAGGTTACTTAGTTCATTTAGCAATCATATTTATCCCGATTACTTTAGAGTTTTCCAGAGTAATTCAGACGTTTCTGAATTTCAGATACATATTGTACTATCTTTCAGTTCAATTTAGTCAATATGATATTCGTGGTTGATTTGTCTCACGAATATCCCCTTCTTAGTATCGAATGCGCTCTAGAGCTGAGCTGAGCTCATTACTTCCAGAATTATCATCTATCCACACTTGTGAATACTAACATGCATTCAAATGATATTTATGCCATTCGGTATTGATATAGCTTTAGGGTTGATCTACTCACTTAAATTGTGTTCCATTACTTTTAAGGGTAATACAACACCTATGTTTATTTGAATTCCTTAATTAGCCCAAGACATTTACTTAGTCTAGGCCATAAGGTCATTTTGGTCATTTTGGTGTTCAATGTTTTTCCATTCATTTCAAAGCTTCAGTATATCCATTCATTCCTGGCTTGGTGATATTCTTGATTCATTTCCATTATAAGGGTATTTTGGTTATTTTACAGATCTAGTGTATTTCAATCATTTCCTTCCGTCCAGTCTTATTATTTAATCCAAACTTATCATTTACTTCAGTCATTTCAAACAATTCTAACAAAAGAGCAGCATCTAAAAAATATTTGTCATGTACTTACTAAATTCGGTGATTTCCAAGTTGAATACCTTCTCAGATGTTAGTAACGAATTATTAGTAATTTTCCATATAAAAATAGGATCTCAACAATTAAATCCGTACTTAATCAAAGTTAAGTACGAATCTTCAAAGTACTTTCTCATTCAGGGTCAACTCGAACCATTTTACCTCTCAAGGGCATTTTCATAATTTCTTAACCAGATAATTTCGATATTAACTCTTAACAAAAATAATTATAATATAGAGATCCTATGATTAATTGCTTTCTTGAACATTCTCTGCTCTTGAAATGATTCCCTTAACAATTCTAGTATCTTGTACAAACGACCTTGGGGTTAAAAATCAGATATCCAAATTTTCTAAACAAAACTAACATTTCTTATGCACATCTAAAATTTTATCGGATCAATATGTCTTTAAAAATCCTTTATCCAACATCTATGGTCAAATCTTGTCTTTTTACAACATAAGGTTATTTTCGTAATTTTACCCTACCATAATATTCTCATAATTTTTCATCCAAGTACCTTTGATGAAATAAATTATATGTTACAGATCTAAGCTGATTCCTTTATCACTAAACACAGAACTTGTAATTTTAATTCTAACAATCCATCAATTTCTTATAAAAGTCATCTGAACCATAATCATTTACCGATTTTTTTATCGTATTCGGATCGAGTGTAGAAATTAATTAGCTACATCTTTAATTCAACTTCCAATAATTTCCTCACGATCCAGGCCATCAAAATTATTAACTCGTATCCAAATAATTTCCCTCGTCATGAAAATTAATTTAATAGAATCTAAATAATAATTTGGGGATTCAATTGGTAAAATTGTAAACTAATGGTACCACCAAAATAATTAATTACTAAAATCAGGGCTAAAAAGAATTAATCTAAACTATCAAAATTTGGTTGAAATTATACTAAGACTGGATGACAAAGTCAGAATCTTACCAACAATGGAGAACTAAAGCCATGATTTGCCCCTCCTTTTCCATACACCTCTAAACTACGTAGTTTTAATAAAATCCATTAGAATGCTTTTCCTTCTCCCACGTATCAACTCCATATGTATGATTGATAATTGCTCTCTTTTCCAGAAATGCTTCTAACCTATTATTCCACCACATCATCAGGATAGATATCCAAGCTTGATAAAGAATCCACCATGGAGGTCTCAGAGACATTATCGCTTCTATCTCCATTTGCTAACTCTAGTGAACCACACATCTTGTCTTCACGGCACTCACTACCAGCCCATCACCGATCGCATGACCATCGCATCGTCCATCGTTTTCGGTCATCACCCGGGACCCAAAATACATCGCTCGAACGGCCTCATGTTGCTCATCCCAAATCCGAAACTTCGATCAATCTCTGCTTTGCCGCAGCTTCTGTTAATTTACCATTCTTGGGTATCTTCAATTTTTCATACTTTGAGAGAGCTTTCTGGATCTCATCGTTCACATTCAAAGCTTCGTAAAGCAGGGCCTCATTTTCTCCAGCAGTATCGATGATTCTGAGAACAATGGATTGGGACTGTCGACATTGTTGGACAAGCATGGTTGTAAAATAATCCTTAAGAGTATCTTGTTGTGGTGATATGGATAACACAGTTAAAAGAAGCTCGATGATGTTTCTTGCTACATCAAATGCTTCCTTAGTCTGTTCGACGGTAAAGGTTTGGAGAGGAGCATCATGTTGAAGCTGCATGTCATGTTGAAACTGATTTGCAAGACTAGCATATACTTCTGCTGCAGAAACTGAACAGGAGAGGTGAAATAGGTGCCAAACTCTCGTTATCACCACCATGAAAATAAATATCCCTTGATTTTAAGCATCTGTTTTATTTGGTTCACGATGCAGCGAACCTAAGCAAAAGACTGAAAACCCCCAGCTCTTTCCAACATTCAACTTTATTTTGAAATAAAATATGACCGTAAACAATTATAATAAAAAAATAAAATCAGTGGCAACTATAAGCTAAAGATAATAGTACTATTACACACTCTTCATCTCTTTCATAATTGAGGAGTGGTTGGCTTGGTGCCTACATATAATAATGGCATTAACAAGTGGCCATAATAATTGCGACGTGCCAATATAAATGTGATCTTAATAATTACTATAGCCAAAACAGGTGGCCGACATACATTATTTACAATGATCTTCAAGCTTTCTTCACTATCATTTTCATTATTTTTAAACTAAAATAAATCTAACCCCATATTGGGGTGTGACAGTATTCATAATGAGTTTGTGAATTATCATTTCGTTATATTAATATAGTGTTGTTGTCACTACAGAACATATGCTTTCGTTTAGCACTTATGTGCAACTCATGTTCTTTGCATTCTCATTTGACATACATTAGGCAATAAATGAATCTTTTCGAAAATGTTGATTGATGGGTATGATGTGCATATTATATATTGTTTCGCGGGTTATGTGAAAGAAACTTGGTTTAACAAGTCAGTTTTATGTATTATTATGATTTATTCAATTATTTTCGTATCTTGATATTTTATAATATACTTATGTTTTGGTTACATCTTATTTGATTTATTATGTCTCACTAAGTGAATATTTAGCGTGTGATGGTTTCACGCGTATGTAACAGTGTACAATAGGAGTAAGGAGTGCAACTGACATCGTAAATCAAAGATTGCCTCATTAGTAACTGTATGACCTCTATGTCTACTTTTGATATCACTAGATGGCATGTAATAGATATATGATGATGCTCTGATATGTATTTGACATATGTGTTGTAGTATTTATTATGTTTGAACTTTAATGTTATTTTACATACTAATAGTTAATGAATGTTTTTATTATTATTATATTAGAATGTTTTATTTAAAAAAACAAAATTTTATTGGTTTTCAAGGACGAAAATGTTTTAAAAATTATGTGACATATGTGACTTGTATACGGGAAATGAGTGTTACATAATGTCATATTTATATATATACGCATTTAAAATAATTATAATATAATATAACAATATTAAAAATTAGATTTCATTCTAATATTACTTTAGGTTTATGATAAAATAATATTAATGATAATTTTATATTATAATTTAATTTAAAGAAAGTCGAATGATTGTAAATCATAATTTTGAAATGTTGATGATTTTTAGTGAAACGGACGTTAAATTTGTATTCAATTGATGAAAGACGATTGAATTGAAAATCTTGGAGATCAACAATAGTCAAGACGACAGATGATGACAAAAAACTTTGATAAAATTCAGGGATTAAATTAATATTTTATCTAAATTTTAAGTCTTAATTAATATATTATTTAAAATTCATAGTTAAAATACAATTAATCCCCTTACCTAACGTGATCCGTCCTCAAACTAACGAACATTAATAATTTAATGATTAATATATAACAAATCCATATTATGAGTAATTAAAATATATTCTAAAAAAGAAAGTAAGAAATACTATTAATGTAACTTAAATATACAAGAAAAACTCATTTTCCCTTTTAATCTTGTATTAACTAATATTTAATATATATATATATAATCAATCTAACTATCAATCAAACATTAGATCTACTTGAGTGGTAAGGTATTCCTATGCTTTTTATTAAGTTGTATTTGTCTGTCTTTTTTTCTTCTAACATTAACTGTAGTATAATTTATACAAATAATTTTGTGACTAATAACTCGAATTTAAAGCTTGGCTTAGTGGTAAGGGCGGCGTAACTCACCCTGAGATCTAGGTTTAATTCTAACTCCCGCACTTTTTCCTTGGAATTAATTCTTTTAATCATATAGTTATTAAATTAAATTAAACTTATTTAATTTAATTAAAATTATGATTAAATTCATAGAAGCGTAGTTAAATGTTAACGAGGTGGCTTAATTGAGATATTTTAAATAATTAAATATTTTGATTAAAATTAAAAAATTAAGTCAAGATAAAAAGAAACAATAGTTAAGTGTTATAAGTATAGTTTACCCTAAAAAGAATGATGATAATTAGGGATGAGCATGAGACCCCAACCCGGGTACTTAATGTAATATATTTTTTTTATAATTTTTTATTTTCCCTTTATAATCTTATCTCCTCGATCTAGGATATAACAAGTAGAAAAACTTCCATTTTTAGTAAAGTATTTCTTTTCATGATTTTTGCTTTGTTGATTTTGTATATGTGAAAATATGCTATTTAGCGAACATATAAACTACTATAGAGTTCGGAAACACTTTTTCATCTTATTTTCGTGCTTTTCTTTTGATTTAATATTATAGTACTTGATTAGTTTACTAATTAAAGTTTTAAAGCGTGAAGCCATCGATTAGTCTACTGTAACTTTTGTTTTTAAACTAACTAATTAGTTCTACCAGACTATTCAAACAGTAAAGATTATAAAACAGTAAGTATTTAGTTATGGTATTTGTACATTTTCGTTCCCAAAGTATATGTGCTTTAAACATTACAAATCCATAAAAATACTCTTAAAATAGAAAGAGAGTTGTCTAAACAGTAGGCTAAAAAAAAGAATTAATAAGTTCAACACTTAAACTCTCTTAACAAGTTAAACTTCATGTTATTGTAAATACCGAATTGCTTTGTAAATTGAGTGAAGTTTAATTGTGTTGAAAACATTTTGATGTTTCGATATAACAAATAAAGTACTATTGAATTTTATGATTTTATTCGATTAAATTATTTGAATATCAAAAATATTACTCCAAGTTTTCAAATGTCAATTTTAATCCTTACTTAAGTGTAAAATTGTGTTTGAGTCATAAAATATTTTTGAAACAATTTTACAAAGTATTTCGAACCTTACTCGAGCCAAAAATAAGTTTTATAAAGGGATGTACCGATACACTCCTCTAATGTATCGATACACACCAAACTTCGAATGTATTTTGTGTACCGATACATAGTCGATGCATCGATACACTCCTGGCTTCGAGAAACATCGAATGTAATTAGTGTACCGATACACCTGGGATGTACCGATACACTAGGTCAACTAACGGTCGAAATATTTAAATTTTACACTAAGTGTACTGATACACCTACTCTCCCAATAGATTTTTTAAATGATAATTACACTATAACGGCTCTATTGACTTCACCAATGATACCCAACGTTCAGCAGTTATTCAAGGTGTATTTAAACAAGCTGAGGAGCCATTAATCAACAACAAGAAACAAGAATTGAGAGAGAATCAAAGAGAAATCATCAAACCTTATTGTTTGAGCACTTCAAGCCTATTTTCCATTCAATATTCTTTTTTCTTTCAAGAACACCATTTGTTCTCAATTGTATTCATTCTCGAGTGTTCTTTCTTTGTTCTAGAATTGTGCAAACATCTTACCTTGAGAGGTTTTTCTGTAAGTTTGCGAAATTTGTATTATTTTCTTTGGGAGAGAGTGTTCTCAAGAACTTGGGGTATAATTCTTGAGGGAGTTGTAAGGTTACTCTTTGTCCTCAAAAGAAAGAACAAATTAGTGAATTTGTTGGAAAATCCTTAGTGTTGATAGCTAAGGTAGTGGACGTAGACTATGGTTAAGAAAGTCGAACCACTCTAAATCGCTGTGTAAATTTTTTCTATTTTATGCAAAAGCTTCCACCAAAATTTTAATTGCCAATTCACCCCCTCTTGGCTATTTTATCGATCGATTAACTCAACAATTAGTATCAGAGTCTCACTCATTTGAAGGTTTAACCACCTCTTGAGTCGATTCGGGAAGAGTTATATCGATATTCAAGTCATCAATGGCCTCCACTTCAAACTTCGATTTCGTTCTTGATTCTCAGCCTGTAAACAAACCTCCTTCCTTTAATGGTGCTAATTATGTCTATTGGAAGAATATGATGAGATACTTTATTCAAGCTAGTGACATGGGAGCATGAAAAATCATGGTGAACGGATACATCAAACCATCCACACATCCAAATTTATGGAGTAAAGAAGAGACGAGAATGTTCCAACTCAACTCAAAGGCTATCCATATTCTATTCTAGATGAATACGTGAGAGTTTCATCTTGTATAACCGCCAAAAAAATATGGGATAAACTATAAGTCACTCATGAAGGCACAAACGAGGTAAAAGAATCTAAAATTAGTCTTCTAACTAATAGCTATGAAAATTTCAGGATGAAATCGGATGAAGACATCAAAGTTATGACGGATAGATTTTCCGTGATTGTCAATGGTCTCAAATCATATGGAGAGATCATTCCAAACGAGAAGCTTATGAGGAAGTTAATTTATTCTCTTCCAAAAGCTTGGCAATCGAAGAAGACGACGATCATCTACGATCATCGAAGCTAAAAACCTAA